AGAGAGAGAGAGAGGGTAAAGTAGTATTAGATGGGAACTTGGTGTGCAGAAAGGAAAATTGAGAGTGGTAGTCTTTGTCTCTCAGCCTGGTGAGTGGCCTGGAGACGCAGAGTCTTCTGTAGACTGCATAACTCACTAATAAAGTGGAGCGCTTTGGCTTAGCAATAGAAATTGATGCCATGTACACTCTGCTCTGTGGTGAAGCTGAGTGCTGGGTAGGAATGGGAACTGTTGTCACTTCCCAACCCCATCTTTTATAGTTTCTGTGCGTCTTTGTCGTTGTTACCGGGGAGGGCTGGAGCTCTTGACCATCCTTTCTGGAGAATATTGAGAAGGAATGTTTGCGATGAAGCTCTCTGCACAGTGTCCCTGTAGTATGAGGTCCTGACTTCGTGCTGCGTGCCCCTCTCTGTGCCCAGCAAAGTGGCAGAGGATGCCAGGGCCACAGCATGCCCCATTACCGAGGGGGATTCCTCTTGTAAACACCGACTTCCCTTTACCTAAGAATTTCCTCCACCATCTAGCACGGAAGGATGGGGGCTCAGGCTGTTAGAGCAGCACCCAGGAAACAGCGTGAGGACTTGTGAGTGAATTTCAGGACTATTCCCAGGATGAGCTGATGCTGATGTGTGCCCCGTGGTGCCTCAGGTGTCCCTCTGGGTCTGGGCTTTGGTTAACCACACAGAAAGCCGTTCCTGATTGTGGCCTGTTCTGCCTCCTTGCCTTCTCTACCTCACTCCCCCATGGCCCATCACCTCTCAGGTAGACAGACCTCTGGCTCTCAGTCCCTCGTCTCAGGCTCTGATTCTGAGAAAGCCCAGCCTACCACAGGCAGCAAGGAGCTTGCTGTCTAGACCAATCCAGGGTAATTACTTCCTGTGGTAGTGGTGGAACTGTGTCCCCTCCAGAATTCATTTGCTGAAGTACTAACTTCCAGGAACTTTATTTAGAGATAGGATCATTGCAGAGAAAATCAATTTAAAATAAATTGTCCTTAATCCAGCATGACTGGTGTGCTTGTGTAAAAGGGGAAATTTGGATAGAGAGACAGCATTCAGAGAAGTGATAGGAAGAGATGAAAAAAAAAAGACAGAGCAAGGGGAGGACTGTGACAGACCCTTCCTTTCAGCTTCTTGAGGAGGCAGTCCTGCAGGCTCCTTGATTTCAGACTTCCAGCCCCGCAAACTGTGAGCAGATAAACTGTTTAAGGCTTCCATCTGATGGCACTTTGTTGTTTAAATCTCCCAGTTGGTGGTATTGCTATGACGGCCTTAGCAAATGAATACATGCTGACATCTGTAGAGACTTCCCGTTGACCCAGCCATTATTCTGGGCATTTTATACACATTTTCTCAAATTATCCTCCCAACAGCCCTTTGGGGTGGAAACTGATATCAGCTTCCACTCAAAGATGGGGAAGCAGGGGCACAGGGATGGGGAGAGACTTGTCCACATAACCGGTAGCAGGAGTAGAATTGAATGGTGGCGCTTTGGGTTCAGAGCCCACTCAGCCTTTAGGAAGTTCACCTCCCATTACACTGGGCTTCAGCAGATGAGCTTTTAATTGCTTAGATGATGGTGAATTTAAGATCTTATATTAGTGCTCTCCAAAGAGATAATAGGAGATATATTTATATAATATGTCTATCTTATTCTTATTTATGTATGTATCTGTCTACGTACCTATCAGTCTTTTAGCTACGTAACTATCAGAAAATAATTATTTTAAGGAATTGGCTGCCTTGCTTGTGGAGGCTGGCAAGTCCGAGATCTGCAGGGCAGGCTGCAGCCCTATGGGAGTGGGTATCTTGGAGTCTTCAACCTGAAGTCAGCCTGGAGGTAGAATTCCTTTCATGTGGGGAACCTCAGTCTTTTCCGTCAACTCCTTGAATGAGGGGCCCCCACATTACAGGTCCTCTGCCTTACTCAAATTCAGCTGAGTTCAATGTTGATCACATTAACATTGAAAAATACCTTCACAACATGTAGGCTGGTGTTTGGCTAAATAACTGGGCACTGTTGTTTAGCCACATTAACACACAGAATTAACTACCACAGGTCCTGGGAGAATGTATGGCACATCACCTGCTCCAAGGAGGCACGGCTGCTCAGAATCAAGTGTCAGGTCAGCTCCTGAGAGCACTGCCTCCTTAAACTCTGTCTCATTCACCATGCCCTGGTCATGGCCCACTGCCCATGTATGAACCAGCTTGCATCTTTAACCTGGGCACTGTTCTACCCGAAAGGACTGGGAGTGAGAACTCCTACCTCTGTTGTTTTATGAGATGCAGGGTAAGGTGTGCCGTCCTTCCAAGCCTCAGTTTCCTTATCCATGGAACAGGAAGAGCAACATCTCCTGAGTTCTGGGAGAATTATGAGGTGACAGTATCGACTCTGACACAAGAAGACATGAGAATATCATTCCTTCTGGCAAATTCTTCTCTTATTACAGCAGATGAATTGATCTTTTAAAGCAGTTGTTATGATTTTAGCACATGGAATGGCCATTTCTGCCTGTCTTCTGTGGATGCCTTGATGCCTTGTCTTAATTTGTAGAATCCAAAGTAAAAGACAAGTCCCCAGCCCCATGCAGAGGGAAGAACAGTGTCACTCAGGAGAAAGCACCAAGAGAGGGAGTGGTGGTTGGCATGGGGAGTGGCACTGCCTTTATGTTCGCTGAGTAGCACAGGACGGGAAGTCTCCTCAGAACCACTCTTAGCAACTCATGAGATGGCGGGTATTCAGACATCTAGTCTCTTCCGTCTTTCAGACTGGTCCTGGTAGCGAGATATTGGGATGCAAATAAAAATACACCCCGTACATCTATGTTGTGGGTATTTTACCTATGGCTGCATGGCTTAAATGTATATATCTCTATCTGTCTGTCTGTCTATCTGTCTATCATCTATCAACCTCTATTATACAATAAACACATTATTTAACCTATGAAAAAATATTGTAATAGCAGATATTTTAGAGACGAGAAACGTTCTCTGAAATTTCTACCATGTGTCTCTGTTTTATCCTCTTTCTCTCTCTGTCTCCCTCCACCATCTGTCCAGCTTTGCTTTTCCCTGGCTTTGTCTCTCTCTCTCCATATATAATATATATGTATGTAATTTTAAATACACTACTTATACAATTTTTGGTTCATTTCCCAGGTGGCAGAGACCTTCAGTGGACATATAGCTCACACTTTGAAGTTTCAGTTGCAGAATACCTTAGTAAATTATTAGCATATGAGAGAGAGAGAGGAGAGAGAGAGAGAGAGAGACAGAGAGAGAGAGAGAGAGAGAGAGAGAGAGAGAGAGAGAGAGAGACTGTGGATACTGGTGGGCAGGAAAGCTTTATAGGATAATCAGTCACATTCCCTAACAATCCGAGTCAGCCTCTGCTTTAGCGTGTATGATTTCAGCTGCCCTTTGGGTAAAGACCAAAATCTTGGACCTGGAAGTCCCTATATAATACAGCTCACCAACCACTGTGCTGCTTGCCCTATACTCCCTTAAGCGGAGCCCTGGCCTGAATGGCTTCTTCTATCACTCAAATAAATAACTTGGCTGATCCCAACCCGGGGCCTGCTCAGGCCAGCCATGCTATCATCTACTTCTGTGCATTTTCTTCCCAGGAGTGCTTCTATAGTTTTAGTGGATATTTAATAAAAACTTAGGGTCTATTTCTCCAACTGGATTGTAAAATTCTCAGGGTAGATGCTCTGTCTCTGGACATCACCTAGTCTTTGTCTTTTAGTGAGAAGAATGGTTGAAAAGGAGGAGAAGTAGTAAATAAATGGATGAAGGCTAAAATGAAGGGATGGAGATGGAGTGATTGGAGCAGCATCTGTGTCACATGACAAGTCAGGCTTGATGGTCTATTTGATGGTCTGTCAGCCGGGTGAGAGCAGTCCATTCTGCCCCCAGAGAGCTACATGTGGTTGTTTTAATGTTTAGCAGCTTTTCACTAGCAGGTCTTTCCTGATGAGACTTAATGAATAGGCTGGAGGTTTTTAAAGGACTCTGAAGTCTTTCTCAGAGTTCAGAAAGCGGAGAGACAGAAGCGAGCTGGGAGGCGCACAAATGGATGCTCTTCTGAGTACTTCAGATAATGCTGATGAGATTCTCTGCCCTCAGGCAGGCTGCCCTCTCTGTCTGACACCCCTCACAGTCTCTGAGGGACTGTTGGTTGTGGGACCAAACCAATCTACTAAATGGAAGTGGGGGACTTCATTATCAAGAGAAACAGGGGTTCTAATGATCAAGAACAAGGCAGCTGGGCCGCAAAGCATCATGGGAACTGGATTTCAAGAGCCCCTGCTTCATTCTCACACCTCAGGGCTATCAGAGCTTGTTTCACCTCCACTTCATTCTGATTATTTTGTGTCTTTCTTTCCACCAGTGTCATCTGTGCAGAGTCTGAGCATGGCTACCAGCCCTCAAAGGCATGCAGACAGTCAGCTCAGGTTCTTACCACTGAACTGGCCACAGCATATGTTTTTTGGTTAAAAATTTCCAGTGGAAGAACATGGACTAACTGACCAGTTACAATGTTTTAGATCACTCACCACACATTCAGATGAGGTCTACGCCATGTGCAGTAATATAGTTGTGTAGTTTTTCTGTACCTCAGGTACCTTTCCTAGAGAAAATTTCAAATGTTTTATTAGTATGTATTTGTGACGTCTAGGGATTACATTCAGCTAGGGGGATTTATACATCTATATATTTCATCTTGATCATCTCCCACCCCACCTTCCTCATGACAGTTTTAGAAATAGTAGACCATGCTGTGGGACGTGAATCCCAAATCATGTCTATTACACAGTTGCATTAAAAATACAGGTCCTGCTGCATCAACTGTCTTTGAAAAGACTGCCAAAACCCATCCCATAGACCTAGTGAATGCCTCTTATTACCAGCAATAAGCACAGCATGGCCAAGAGGGCAGAGATGGACACTCAATTCCTAAGTGGTTCCACCTTCCTGGCCAAAGAGCATAGAACAGAGAGGGCCTCCTGCCTCTTGTTTGGCTTGTATGGGACCTTTCTGAAGGAACTTGGGATTGGAACTATGAATGACTGGCCTCTCCAAGGGGCTAGATCCAAAGGGTTCATCACTGGTATTGTGGTTGCACTGGATTACAATGAAAATAATACTTTAGACACAAGGACATATGAAGCTGATGTGCAGAGAGAAGCAAAGATGAGAGACAGACAGGGAATTCCCTCTGGTTTTCTCGTGGTTCTTAGGAATATTGGCCTAAATTTGGTTGTGTTCTTTTTTTTCTTTTTCTTTTTTTTGGTATCAGGAATCTCACTCAGGACCTTGTACTTGTCAGGCAAGTGCTGTGCCACTGAGCTATATTCTTGGCGCTGGCTGTGTTCTTGAGCCAGTGGGCACTGTGGGATTCCTCTACATCCTTATCACAAGTCCAGCTTAAATATCTTAAGTTCACTTGTGTTGTTTTCTAATTCTTGCGTGAAGATACCTTAAGTGTTGTACAAGTCAGAAGTATCACTAGTTATGTGTGCAAAATCAGAGCTCCAGAGAACAATGTACTGCCACTGAGATAGCACTGAGGGCACTGGAAACTTCAGTATCATAGGGATAGAGACCATCTCTTTTGATGTTCTGGCAAAGGAGTTGGGGGACTGTCAATGGAGACATCAGGAATCTTGGGTAAATACTTGGATACTGGAGTATTAATAGATCCTTGTGGTAGTTAGTGGAAAGAGAAGAGAAGAGAGAGAGAGACAGAGATGGAGACAGAGACAGACACAAAGAGAGATAGAGAGGGAGAGAGAGAGAAAAGGAGATTTTTGTTTGTCCAGGATTTCCTACAAAATCCACACAGCTGATATGGAGACCCAGATTTAAAAAAGAAATCAACTCTAGATTGGTGATAGCTTGGAGGAATTGGGAAATCTTTAATAGCGCTCATGCCTCCCCCAGCCCAGTCCTGTAATAGAGTACTTATTGTAGTAGCCAGCCATGAGCCAGCTTATGAAGGGCCTCAAGAACTTTGGATTTGATTCTGAAGATGATGCAGCAGACAGAACAGCAGGAAGATATTCACGGTTTTGGGTGAAATGTTGGCAGAAGGTCATGAGGAGTAAGAGCCAAGAGATAATTTTGAAAGTAATTGCTATGGTCCAAAAAGTGTTGCTCATCACCTGGCCTAAGATTATAGCAGCGGGGGAGAAGGAAGTCAGATTCAAGATTTTTTTTAGAGGTAGGTTTAATGGGATTTAGAGAAGGTTCCTGTAGCTAATTTTTTTTCCAATACAGCTATACTGAATTATGTCTTCCCACTGTATTTCCTTGTAATACTGTATCGAGACAGGTCTCCATTGGGAGGTAGGTCTGTGATCCTTCTTTTGATATTTTAGTAACCAACTCAGCAAGTGGAGTGTGACAAAAAGTGATGCTCCATGACTGCTGATGCCAGATCATGGAAAGCAAGGTGGCTTCTGCCTGGTTCTCGCTTTCACTAGGGTGTTTGCTCTTGGGATGTATGTACATCCTGTGAGGAAGCCTAGACAGCACGAGGAGGCCACACCAAGAACACTATGCCTGACATCCATGCTTGTGGTCATGTGAGGGACTGAGTCTTCAGGTCACTCACTCCTGGCCCTTAGGTATTCTAGCTGAAGTCTTTCTGTGTTCTATTTGAATTCCTGAATCAAAGAATGAGTGTGAAATAATAAATGACAATTATTGTTTTAAGCCACTAAGTCTTGGGAATAATTTATTTTGTATCAATAAAAAGCCACAGATTGGATGCACTGTGTAAAAGAGAGAAGTCCAGGATGACCCCAGGGATTTTGATTTGAGTCAGCAGAACATTTCTTGAAAGTGAAATCATGAGTTCTTCTTTGGGGATATTAAGCAGGAGACAGCTTTCTCTGGCACCCTCTACTTCACCACTTTGCTGTTTCTCCAACATAGCAAGCTGACTTCCACTGTAGTCCACAATAATGGAGTCTCTCAGTCCATTTGCAATACATGACAGTGACCCTATAGTCACAAGTGGATTGAACTTAACTCAGGTTAAAGCCAGTGGAGCTATCCTGGAAATCTGGAAGTGGACTGGGAAAGTTAGAGGTATATGTGTGCATGAGTCTAAAAATATGTAGTCTTGGATATCTCTGGCTCATATTTTCTGCAAGTTAGGATGGATGAAAGGTGGAAAGAGAGAGAGAGGGGGGAGAGAGAGAGAGAGAGGAGAGAGAGAGAGACTGAGATTATAATAGATGGACAGAATCTACTGCCTGATTTCCCACAGAATATCCAGTCTTTCCTTGGCCCAGTTATACTCCTGGCTTGGATTCTGAATCTCTCTCTCTCTCTCTCTCTCTCTCTCTCTCTCTCTCTATATATATATATATATATATATATATGTATATATATATATATATATCTTTATTATAAATTTCATTTTGTCCTTGTTCAAATTGGCTTTGGTAGTCAACACTCAAAAATCAATAGCATTCCTGTACACAAAATAAATTCACTGAGAGAGAAATCAGGGAAACCACACCTTTCACAATAGCATCTAAAAAATGAAATACTTAGGAATCAATCTAACAAAGGAAGTAAAAGATACATATATTGAAAACTATAGTACTCTAAAAAAGGAGATTGAAGAGGATATCAGAAAATGAAAAGATATCTCTTGCTCATGGATAGGAAGGACCAACATAGTGAAAATGGCCATACTTTTAAATTTATTATACAGATTTAAAGCAATTCCAATCAAAATACCATTAGCATTAGCATTTCCATTACCATCAGCAGAACTAGAGAAAACAGTCCTAAAAATTTACTTGGAACAAGAAGAGACCTAGATTAGCAGAAACAATCCTAGGCAACAAAGGCAAGGCAGGGGGCATCACAGTCCCTGACTTGAAATTATACTACAAACCTACTGTGATAAAATCAGTACAGTATTGGGACCCCCTCTCCAAACCAGACCTGAATATCAGTGGAACAGACTAGAAGATGCAGATGCAACTACAAACACACTCAGCCAACTTATCTTTGACAAAGGGGCCAAACATGTTCACTGGAAGAAAGACAGCCTCTTTAACAAATGGTGCTGGAAAAACTGGCTTTCCACATGCCAAAGACTAAAATTAGACCTATGTCTATCACCATGCACTAAAATAAAGTCAAAATGGATCAAAGATCTCAACATTGAAACAGAGACACTGAATCTACTGAAAGAGAAATTAGGTAGAAATCTTGAAGACATAGATGTAGGTAGAGAAAACCTACAAAACCCAGACTGCATGGGAAATACTTCAAAGAATCAACAACTGCAATCTCATCTTATGAAAAAGCTTCTGTACATCTAAAGTAATCACCAACAGAGTGAAAAGATAACCCACAGAGTGGAAAAAATTTTAGCCAATTGTCCCTCTGACAAAGGATTTATAATCTAGAACACAGAAAGAATTGAAAAAAATCAGACACCCCAAATTCAAAGACCCAATCCAAAAATGGGCATCTGAGATGAATATACATTTCTCAGATGAAGAAATAAAGAATGGCTGTTATTGAGAGATCAGTCAATAACAAATAACAAGAAGCTGTGGGGAAAAAGGAACCCTTCTCCACTCTTGGTGGGAGTGCAGACTGGTACAATCACTGTGGAAGTCTGTATGGAGTTTTCTTAAAAAGCTAGGATTAGAGGTTCCATTCAACCCAGCTATTGTTCTGGGTATCTTCCCAGGAGAATTAAAAACATCAGAGATACATGTGCACCCATGTGTACAGTAGCACAATTTGTCATAGATAAATCTTGGAAACAACCCAAATGCCCATCAACTGAGGAATGGATAAAAAAGATGTGATCTTTGTATACAATGGAGTATTATTTAGCTATAAAGAAGGATAAACTTGACACTTCTATAGGTAAATGGATGCAACTTGAGAACATACTCATAAGTGAGATAAATCAGACTCACATGTGTAAAAATCATATGGTCTCCCTGATGGGAGAAACTGAAAAACTAAATAACATTTAAAATGTATAATAGGTATTGTGAAATGGGAAATAATTGTTCAAAAGGAAAAAGGAACTAGGATTGGGAAAAAAGGAAAGGAATGAAGGGAAAAGGGGAAAAATGCAAGTTAGTTATACTACTAGTGTCTCCTAGTTCATTGAAAAGGAAAGTTTGTGTTAATATTAGTTGGAGAATTACTTTGTGCATATCTTGTGCTCTGAGTAACTACTTTGTTTTTTTTATTTTAAAGATAAAAGAATGAAAACATCTTAATAAACACACATACCTTTAGAAAATAACACAAAAACAATACAAGCAATACAGAATCTCAGACAAGGTGATATGAAATTAACAGTGGTTGTAGTATTACATATTGATATCTTCAAGTTGGATACTCAGATGAACAACTTAGACATGTAAGATTGATCATACACTTAAACATTAACTGTTACTTTCAATAGAGCAATAAAATTCAGTAGTACAACTATGTTAGCTATCCTGTGTATATATCTATATCTCTATCTATATCTATTTTTCCCCTTTTTTCTTTTCTCTTTTCCCTCATCCTGGTTGTTCTTTCCTTCTGAGCAGTTTCCTTCCCTTTCACACTATCTATTGTACTTAGATTTTATTCAATCTTTCAAGTTCTTACACTAGTGAGACAATACAATGTTTACACATGCAGGTCTGATTTATTTCACTTACAATTATTGTCTCCAGTTGTGTCCATTTTCCTATAAAAGCCTCGAGATTATCTTTCTTTACAGCTGAGTAATATTCTATTATGTAAAAATGCCACAACGTTTTTTATCCATTCTTCCATGGATGGGCATTTGAGTTGCTTCCATGATTTAGCTATTACAAATTGTGCTGCTATAAACATGGGTGCACATATATTGCTGTGATATGATGTTTTCTGTTCTTCTGGGAAAATACCCAGAAGGGGAATAGCTGTATTGAATGGGACTTCTAATCCCAGTTTACTGAGGAATCTCCAAACTGATTTCCACAGTGGTTTCACCAATCTACATTCCCACCAGCAGTGGAGAAGTGTTCCTTTTTCTCCAAAGCCTCAGCAGCATTTGTTATTGGTTGATTTCTTAATGATAGCCATACTTACTGGGGTGAGATGGAATCTCAGTGTTGTTTTAATTTGCATTTCTCAAATGACTAATGATGTTGAACATTTTCTCATGTATTTATTTGCCATTTATATTCCTTTATCTGAGAAGTGTGCGTTCATCTCAGATGCCCATTTTTGGATCAGGTCTTTGAATTTCAGAGGGTTGATGCTTTTTAATTCTTTATGTGTTCTAGATAGGAGTCCTTTGTCTGAGGGATAGTCTGCCAGAATTTTTTCCCAACTTGTGGGTTTTCTTTTCAACCTGTTGGTGATTTCTTTAGATGTGAAAAAGCTTTTCAGTAAGATGAGATCCCAGTTGTTGATTCTTTGAAGTATTTCCTGTGCAGTTTGGTTTTTGTTCATGAATTCTCTTCCTACCCCTATGTCTTCAAGGTTTTTATCTGCTTTCTCTTCCAATAGATTTAGTGTTTCTGTCTTGATATTTAGATCTTTGATCCATTTTGACTTTATTTTAGTGCATGGTGATAGACATAGGTCTAGTGTTAGTCTTCAGCATGCGGAAAGCCAGTTTTTCCAGCACCACTTATTAAAGAGGCTATCTTTCTTCCAGTGAGCATGTTTGGTCCCTTTGATGAAGATAAGGGGACTGAGTGTGTTTGTAGTTGTATCTGTATCTTCTAATCTGTTGCATTGATCTTCAGGTCTGTTTTTGTGCCAGTACCATGCTGATTTTATCACAGAAGCTTTGAAATATAGTTTTAAGTCAGGAATTGTGATGCCTCCTGCCTTTCCTTTGTTTCCCAAGATTGCTTTTGCTATTCTAGGCCTCTTCTGGTTCAAGATGAACTTTAGGAATGTTTTTTTTCTAGATCTGTGAGGTATTCTAAAGGTATTTTAATTGGGATTGCATTGAATCTGTACAACAATTTTGGGAGTATGGCCATTTTCACAGTGTTGGTCCTTCCTATCCATGAGCAGGGAATATCTTTCCACTTTCTGATATCTTCTTCAATCTCTTTTTTTCAAAGTACTGTAGGTCTCACTGTATAGATCTTTTACTTCTTTTGTTAGATTGATTCCTAAATATTTTAATTTTTTGGATGCTACTGTAAAAGCTATGGTTTCCTTAGTTTCTCTCTCAGTATGTTTGTTATTTGTGTATAGGAATGCTATTGAGTAACTACTTTAAAGGTAACAATATGCAATGTGTTAACAATTGTTATTCTTCTACTATTTTGTTATGAAATTTTGTCTTACTTTTTTCCATAAAATAAAAAACAAACAAACAAAAACCCAGTTGGCTTTGGTTACTTACAAGTGGATGGGTCCTGAATGCTGGTGTTGTTGTTGTTGTTGTTGTTGTTGGTGTGTAATCAAAATCTTCTTGCTTTGCTCACAGGCAACATCACTATCAAGGAACCTTGAGATGAAATTGTTGGGAGACTGTCAGCACCTAGTGCTGTACCCAGTCTGTGGGGCTTTCTAAGCTTCTAGAGCTCTACCTCACTTGTTCAAGGAATATACATACTGACCTCAACTAAAAGCTGGTCATGCTGCTTTTGCTAAAGTGTTTAATGGTGTACTCATTCCCACATGGAACCTTTTTGATTTCTATCTTGGAGAAGGAAGAAAATGAAGGAGTCCACGAGGAAGACTCCTAACAAGTACTCTTTCTCCATAATGGTGCCAATGTGTCACTGTTTTCACCAGTTGTTAGTGATAAGAAGTCATAATAAGTAAAAATAACTTCCTGTGGAAGGTGCCGTAGAAGCCAGGGATAAAATTTACTCTCTCTCTCTCTCTCTCTCTCACACACACACACACACACACACACACACACACACACACACACAAATCCTAACCTCTGAGAAAACCACCTTTCTTCTTTTCTTCGTTTATGTCACGACATGTAGGAAGCGCGTGCCTGTAATTACAGGTTGTCAGGTTGCTGGAGCATCTCTCTAACGTTGCCTGTCCCGGGGGTGTGAACACGCGCTATTACAATGGTTTCCCAGGGAGCCCTGTGTCAGTGACACTGTCCGTGCACGCTGTGGGAGGTGTTCAAGCTGGGGCCCTATCTATATGTAAATGCTGATTTTATTCTTTGGTGCTGTAAGAATCAGGAAAGGTGGAGGATGCCAAGCATTTTCAGTGCCAGCTGGTGGCACTAGGAATGTAATTTAATGCCTTGTTTCCAAAAAATAAGAGGAAAATGAAATATGAGAGTTGCTTATGTCAGGTGAGACTCCGATGCCATCTCTGTCCGGTGGATGCGCCTTAGGCAGTGACCTTGGGGAGCCTTCCATCTTCTCGTCCTCAGGTCTGTGTCCCTCTCTCAGCAGACAGGGGAAGTCACCTGCTCTCTGCTCTTCCCGGAACTCTCCTCAGGACCAGATGTGACTCTGTCCTGAAAGCCCGGAGGGGCTCTGTGCCCTTAGGGGTTCAAGCTTTCCTCCTCGTCCTTGTACCTGGGTACTCCCTTGAGGGTGAGGTGTAAGTAACGTCCCTGAACAGCCCAGGTCAGAATTTACGCAGCCTCGAAGATTCGCAGTAAATAGCCAATTATATGTTATCTCAGGTGACGATTCCTAGGCTGAAAAGTGAGGCAGGCCAAGTAAACAGAAGTCTGCAATTCTGTGTGTCAAGGCTCAGGCCAAATGCAGCTTCCCTGGACATCATCTCCCCTGAGTTTCTACCATGATGTGGAAATCATTGGTTGTATTTATGGCCTGCTTCTCATACACTGTGAAATTCTTGAAGGGAGGAAATATGTATGCGTGTGTGTGAGTGCGTGTGTGTGTAAATTTTATCCCTAGCTTCTAGAGCACCATCCACAATGAAAAATGACAAATTGACCATATGTCCAGATGGCTACCACCTGTCCCTTTCCTGTCCCTCCTTTCTCAAAGACTTTCTTCTTGACCTTGTTCCTTTTCTTTTTGTCACCTGGACGTTGTGAAGCTCATAAAAAATGCTTGTATATTTGAATGCTAAGAATAATTGCCATAATTTTTCCACTGCAGAGAGCTGGCAAAGGTCACACCAATCTGCAGATAATGCCAATTATTTCTCTTGGCAGTGCGCTTGTCCTACTTATTTTTATCCCAGAGTTTTTCTTATGTTAAAGTTGAAAGAGAGAAACCTGACGAAGCACCTGACTCCAGGGAGGGCAAACTGGTGGCTACAGTGGGCCGCATCTTCCCCTGGGGGAGCAGGTTCCCATCACATGGTCTCTGGGTGAAGGTGGGGTGGTAAGGGCCTGTATCTACAAAGCACGGTCTCCCTGGTCACAGATGGTGCGGGTGGCAGATCCCATCGTTCATGGCATTATCAGGATTGAGCAAACTGGACTCTGGAGGACAGATCATTCCTCATGGAACAAGTCAGAACTGGAATTCAGGCTCCCTCAGTCTTTCTTAGTGCTTTAGTGAAAGCCCATGGCTTTCAGTAATGCAGCTGGAAGAGAAAGCGCCTCTATTACCACACATGTCATTTGTGTATAAGGAACCTTAGTGTCAGCAATAACCTCTCTCTAGAGGAAGCTCAGCCATTGTCTGACATCACAGACTGTAGAACATTCTAGTGGGGCCTTGTGCTGGAGCCAGAAGCCCCAGAAAAAGCGTGTCCCCCTACTCTGCCTCGGTTCATGTGAGGGAGGTACAGGTAGGACATTAGGGGAAAGAGGAGGAAAAGAGAATCATGAAATTAAATCTGTCCAGCTACGTGTCTTTGGGTGGCTAAATTATAACTCTCTCCATACTTTCTGAGAGGTGCTTTAAAAAGAAAACCCAGGTGTGGAAATGGAAGCCCAAATCACACCACCAGTCTGGGGAGCTGGGGGCGTGGGCAGGGCTGGAAGTGAGGACCTAGTGTCCCGGCTCCGAGCAGTGTTCACGCTGAGATTAAAGTTGCTGCAAGATCAGAGGGTCGTGATCAGGGAAAGAATGAGGGTCTTGGAAGGAAAGAGACTGTCTTTTCAGGTGAGGAAGCTGCTCAGGTTCGCCTTGACCACGCCCATCCCAAGGCCACCAAATTGAATTTTTTTTTTAACCTATTATGTGAATAATGGCTCAGTTGAGCCATTGACCTTGCTTCCAGGTTCCTTTAAAAGTTGTTATACTAATTGTACCTATTTGTGGGACACAGCGTGACAACTTGATATATACACACAACAGATACAGATCAAATCGGGGTAGTTAATATTTCCATCTCCTTAAAGCATTTAGTTCCTCCAGCAAATACCAAGGCTTCTCTCTGTAGCCCAGCACTAAAACCCTGCCACAGCTGCTCTTAATTAATTAGGAAAAATTTCTAGCATCGTCATCTGTCAGGCTGAATTACTGAGCAGTTCCCTTGTGTATGCTTCTTTCTTCTGCTAAGTTCTGAACTCCCTGCTGTCCCTGGAACACACCAGACACCATCTGACCTCAGGACTTTTGTACAAGCTGTTTCTCCTACTAGCATGCTGTTCCCCGTGATATGTATATAACTTGATCTCTTGATTCCTCTAAATTCTTGCTCACATGTCATCTTTTATTGAGACCTTCTTGGATCCCCCAGTTTAAGATAGCAAACAACCTTCCTAGCAATCTTTTCTGCTGTACTTTTCTTATCAGCATGATATAACTTGTCTTCCCTTCAAGTTTTACTTTCTGTCGCTCCACAAGAATCTAAGTCCAGGAGGGTGGGGCTTTCTGTTAAGATAGTGCTTCAAGCAGTTGATCATAAGTATCCAGGAGATGCTCAGGGCATGAGCTATGGATGCAGGAATGCACTCCTGCTTGTTAGCCATTCACCACAGATCCAGGCGCATAACACATACTTAATATTTGTGGAATGAAACTTTGTTTCTGTCCAGCACATCAATTCCAGTTATTCCTGGTCATCTACTATGACCTCCTGTGGCTTCATGACACCTTGATCCCTACTGTGCTTAGAGCTGTTCAGGCAGCAGCCCCTCCGTGATCAGAGCCATCTCTAGATTCTGCAGGCGTTATTAGCTCCGCAAGGAGCACATTGGCTGGAGCAAACAATGGTGAGTCCCTTTCTGCTCTTTCATGAAACACACAAACCACTCTTGCTGCTTGTTTGATGCCTGATTCTCGAGTGCTTGGAAGAGACCTTATGAGAGTGGCTCCCTGCTGTTTCCCGATTTTCCAGTTCACCCCCTGGCACGGGCAGACAGTGAATGAGTATTTGTTGACTGAAGGGACCAGGTATCATCAGCAGGGCCAAGGAAAGATTAAAATATGTCCCTTGACCTCAGGTGTGAGAATGAGTCATGCTTTTGGGTGAATCCCCTGCCTTCCAAGGCCTCTGGGAGTACAGAGAATTCCTTCATCTGAAGATTTGACATTTACAAAGTTATGCACCTTCTGGAGTGCCAAGATTTAACACAGAGATTCTGTTGTTTATTCAGCATGGGAAAGCTATCATGTGCTACCCAGATTGCTCTGTGCTTAAAAATTGCTGCTCTGAAATCCTTTAGCTTGCAACGACAGACAGAAATAGTGGGTGACCAAAGAGCCTTCTTTTGGCTAAGCAGACAATAACAGCACTGCTAACTTCATTTATCTGAGTAAGCGAGACATGATCAAATGCGCTGAGTGTGTGGACTAAGATCCGGAAGTTGTTTTGTTAGCATTTTATAGATGCCCATGATACACGTTTTTAGGACACCACCCTGATAGCTTTGATAGGATTGTGGCAATTGTTGAGTTGCTTCTCTGGCTTTGTACCCTGAGAATATGTAATCTATAAATTACAACAGGTTTCTGTACTCATGAAAAATGTGTCATTTTATTGTGTTTTTCTAATGTTTTACAGGGGTTGGGGTCTCCAGGGTAACGTTGCACCACTACTGTCAGAAGCCGTGTTCATGATGCTGATAGCGATCCCTTCAATCTCCCCACCCACTGTGGTGCTCACTGCCATACTGGGGGAGCTCTCCTCTCTTATCAACATTAAGATGTCTACTTCTACTCTTCTCAAATTTGTTATTGCTGTTAACTGTATTTTTAAGTAAGGAATAACCATTCAATTTTATCAAGAGCTTTTGGGCATGTATAACAAATACATAACAAGATTTTAATAATATATGTTCACGTTATAACACATAACACGATTTTCTCTTTGAGTATGTAAGAAACACACATTAATAGATATTTTAATGTTAACCCATCTTTGCATCCTTGGACTAAGTCACGGGTTTATGTATTTACATCAGCGGACACAACTTGCAGATTTTTATTCAAAACTCTTTGCTACCGGAGACACCAGTGATTTTTTTATGATTTTATTTCCATTGTTATCTGTGTCTAGTCTTGATGCTGTCCCATCTACTGTATGCTCAGTGTTTAAACATCATAGGAATGATCTATTTCTCCTCCAGAGGTGTTCAGTACTCTGAATTCTGCATTGACATTCACACACATGCTTTTATTTTTTGCTACATATTTATGTCTATGTAGTTTATTTGTAATTATTTGAAAACTTCACATGTAATGGTGCCATAATGTTCAAATCTCCATCAGTTTGTTCTCCATGTGTTTTAGATTTATCCATTTTGATATATATTTTCATGTCATATTTAATTTTTTGTCCATCTAATATATTTGAGGTGTTCTTTTTCATAATACAAAATTACCTCTACAAATTGTGCTTTTCTTATTGTTCAATCCCAATGGCATTTATTTGTTTTTCTTTACGTCTCTTGTCCCCCTTGGAATGGTAATATATTTGTCTATGTTATTGATCAAAGAGCCAACTCTGATTTGGTCAGATTCATTTAAACATTTGTCTTGTATATGACTCCTATCTACCTAAACATTTTAAATTCCTTGTAGTTTCTTTATGTGCTTGTGTGCAAATATACTAGTATTTGCTTATAATATATATTTCATTTGTTTTTGTTGTTCATATTATCTAATACAGTACATTTGTAGGTTTGCTTTTCTTTTTTGTTGCTGTTGCTACAATAGATCAGTTTTAATATGCACTCATCAAGTCAGTTATTTGTAAGTAGTTTGCATTTTCAAAATGAGCTCTTCTTTATTTCAAGATTAACAGAAGATGACTCCAACATGTCAAAATGATTGATAATATATCTAGTCGGATCTTTGTTAGTTTCTATATGCCTTCTATATGCCTTCTACTGAGGCCAGAGGATGTGTCTTGTATGATTAATTCATATATGGATGGTAATTAGGTTGCGTATTGCATTCTGTGCACCACATCATTGTGTCTGACATATTCAGACATTTTTTTTGGCATCCAATACTCACTACAGTAGATGCAAAATTCCATGGCAGCCTCCTCCTTGTTCCCTTGTTTTCATTTTCTCTTTTCTCCAGAAACGTGTAATATATTCATTCTTGCAACAGAAACTCTGCCTTTTATCATTATTGGTATCAGGGTCTCTGTGAGCTGTTGGATCTGAAGGCTTAAGATTTATTTTGTAAGCTCAAGGGAATTTCCTTCTGTTATCTTTAAAATTTTATTGCCCTAGATCTTTTGGGCCTCTTCACATTCTTCATGATTCCCCTTCCTCCTAGTGGCAGTTTTGCTTTATGTTCTGGAAAGAGTAACAGGTTTATAATTTA